GGGGCATGTGCGGGAAGCTACCAATTGCTGTGTCTCACATCGATGCTTCTCTCTCTCTCTCTCTCTCTCTCTCTCTCTCTCTCTCTCTCTCTCTCTCCTCTCCCCCCGACTCACCTTCTCTCTCCTCTCAGTCTCTCTCTCGTCTTCCATTAAGTTTATGATGGTATGCTTGACAATATCTAAAGTTCTGTTTATTTTTCTTCATTTTATTTCTCTTTGTTTCTTCAACTATATAACTTCAATTAACTTATTATTAAGTTTGCTGATTCTTTTTAAATATATATTTTTATTGATTTCAGAGAGGAAGGGAGAAACATCAATGATGAGAGAGAATCACTGATTGACTGCCTCCTGCATGCCCCATACTGGGGATCGAGCCCACAACCGGGCAAGTGTCCTGACTGGGAATTGAACTGTGACCTCTTGGTTCAGAGGTCAACACTCAACCACTGAGCCATGCCAGCTGGGCTGACTTGAGATTTTAATGGAGACAAGGTCTGACGTCCTCTGTTCTCTGAGAGGCTCAAGCTATCCATCAGGCAAGTCACTGACTCTGAAAGCAGATCCTGATCCCAGAAAGCCACGCACACGTTCAGCCAGCGCTGGCAAACAGCCCGTACAGTTTCATCTGCTTGCATCCCATGTGCAGACAAACAAGCATTCTGGGCTCTATGCCCCTTGGTTATCCTACAAGAACTTAAAATGGTAAACATACAAGTTTGATAAGTCACCAGGAAGTTCTGCACTAACAAAGTACACCCCCAATGGGAGCCCAGTACTGATGATGAAGATTAGATCATTTATGCTAATTATACAACCAAGTGTTTATGTGGTCTCCTACATGGTGCACACATGCACATGCACACAACATGCACATGCCACACGAGACATGCAGACATACACGCAAACACGTTTGCATGCACATACAGATGCAGAGACGCACATATATGGCACATGCATGCACACATACAGACTGGCACTCAGAGACATGCAGACACACATACATGTGCACCCAGACACCCAGATCCTGCCTTGCTCAGGCGTGGCCTCTCCTCCCCCAGGACCAGCACCACAAGGACGTCCAGCCCCTGCAGGTGGAGTACTACCCGCCCAACGGCACCTTCAGTCTGCACTATTTCCCTTACTACGGGAAGAAGGCACAGGTAGGTCCTTCACTTCCGCCTGCAACAGCTACTGAATCATTTCGAACTTAGCAATGATTGGCAGAAGGAAAGCCCTAAGTGTCTTACCTACAAGAACGAAATAAGGCATTACTTAGCCCATTCTGACCAGTTACTGCTCGCTGGCTGTTTCCCAAACCCATGTTCTCCTAACTACCTGAAAACACATTGTTCTCAGGTAAAATATACATATCAAGTCTAACTGTTTTCGTTTTCGACAGCCTCCAAATCCTTTTACACAGCTGCATATCCATTTTAAAGCACTTCCTCTCACTCTCTTGCTTCTTCCTGATTTTTATGTTTTCACCAAATATCAAAAATTTGAAGTTGAATTTGTCACTGTTAGTGTCTGTCCTCTCCAGAGCAATTCTCGTTTCTGAGTGGGTAGACAGCGACCCGGTGAACTCCAGGGCCTGGAGCAGAGCCTATGTGGCCTTACTCAGACAGACAGCATGTAAGAACTGCCTCTGCCACCTGCGTGCCCGCGCTCAGCACAAGGTTCCTGACTCTCTCCCCTTCCCACGCTTCCATTCCAGCCCCACTACAGCAACCCGTTAGTGGCCGCAAAGCTCCTCAATGTCCCCAGGAACACCGAAGTGGTCATCGTGTGCAAGATCCTGGCAGAACATGTGACCTATGACAACCCCCATGACCCCTTTGAAGGGAAAGTGGAATTCAAGCTTAAAATTCACAAGTAAAGGACCAAGGAGGCCGGCCTTAACTTGCAGTAACTCGCAGACCTCCACCCTCCACAGGGCTGCCCGCCGACGCTGCACCACGCCAGCCCTCAGACGTCCAAATGCCAACACGAAGGCAGCTCCGAGACGCCAGACAGGCACCTGTACGCCAAGCGCTCCACGTCAGAATCAGCTATTTCTTATCAAGTCTTCATTATTGTTTGGATAGAATTTGTAGCTACAATAAAAATGTTGGGTTAACATGGTAACCCTAAGGCAGAAGCTATCTAACAAGACCCTAAATAATTTATCTCTTTCTATACAAACATCACTTTTCTTACTATAACTTATTTTTTCTATTAAGTCGATGAACTACCACCCATGTTAATATAAAGACTATCAATACGTTGATATAAAACATGACATGATAATGTACATCCTGGATGCTTGCTTCAAAAAAATGCAGTTTCTAAATTGTAAAAATAAATATATTAAAAAGCCACTCTTACTCTATATAAAAGAGTCGTGTGTTTCCTGATTTAGGGGGGAGAGGGGAATCAACTAAAAATATCAAACACCACTTTTTAAAAAATCCTCTTTTTAAAGTTTCCATTGCAAGTCAGGGAAATTACAAAACCGTTACAGAGGGACTGTCGCCTGAGGGCAGGCACAGTTTCAGGTCGTAGGAACTAGAGGTAATTACAACCAGTTAACCTTCCCTTCACCAGCACCAGTCCTTCCTCCAGCACCAGGAACTCGTGTGAAGTCTGCAACTCCAGGCCTTTCGAAAAACTGAAGTGAGGACATGCTGTGTGAATGAAGCTGCTCTCACCAAGCATCACCCACTTTTCACCCAAAACATAGCGAGAGGCCTGCGGCCCTTCCCGCAGGAGTGTCAGACACGTCGCCACAGACAGCTGCACCCAGATACCAGACAGGGAGACCCGTCAGCGTGAAACCCGGTTACAAACACAGTGTTTGCCGAGAGGATCAAAACCCCGTGAGAATTCTGGAAGGCCAACTGAGTCGTTATTTGCTGGGCACCTCTACTACATAAGACACTAGCAAGTGTTTCTTCACTGCTGACACAACCAGTAAAGACTTTCTGAGCCAACATGGCCGATGTGGCCGTGTGGCTGAGCCTTGAGCCATGAACCAGGAGGTCCCTGTTAGATTCCTGGTCAGGGCACATGCCCGGGTTGCAGGCTCAATCCCTAGTAGGAGTGTGCAAGAGGCCGCTGGCCAATAATTCTCTCTCGTCATTGATGTTTCTCTCTCTCTCTCTCTCCCTTCCTCTCTGAAATCAATAAAAACGAATTAAAAAACGTTTTGAGCCACCTCAGAAATGTCACAGCAGAGGTCAGAGGTCAGGTCTCCTCAGGTATGTCATGATAATGTAATCCTGGAGGTCAGAGGTCCGACCTCTTTTCTTACCTTACCTTCTTCTGTTTCTGAAAGTCAACCCATAAAATACACCTCAACTGTGAGGATTCAGGAGGAAGGCAGGAAACACTCTCTCCCTGCACCATGGCCACAGGACAGGAGGTGCTGCTTCGGTCGGTGCCCCTCTGACATCCTCCTTGGGGCCACGCCATCCCTCGGGAAGCTGCAGGACAAGCCGGGGGGCCCGTGGTAGGGTCCCAGCCCCCTATGCCTGGGCCTGGCAACGTCTCCTCACTCCAGCAAAAAGCAAGACTAACAGGATAAAGTAACTTCTAGACAGTAATCCTGAATTAGAGAAACACAGCTTGTTTAAAATGCCCATGCGCGTTTTATTAATAAAAACTAACAGTGCCAAGTTAAACAAGTCAAACAATTAAAGTCTCTTTATATTCCATAAAATATTACAGAAAAGTTTATTTGTGTTTCAATAAAAAGACTATTGTTTTAGAACAGGCAGCTAACAGCAACTGTGCAGTTAATGGTTCTTCGTGGATAAATTTTAAAAGAAGCTACTGCCTGTCCTGAAATTCCTTTTCCTTTTTATAAAAAAAGAACTATTAAAAATGATTGACAAATTTTGAGTTAAAAAACTGTTAAAACATTCTCTATATTTAATTTCAACTTTATAATAGATTACAGGAAGATGCTCATGAAACAAATACAACATTTGTTTCAGTACATGTCTTTAAATGATAGACTCATAAGTATGTAAACAGCTATATAATAAAAAGTTCCCAAACGCTGCCTGTAAGAAATCAGGCAAATTTTACCATAAGCAAAAAACCATCCCAAGCTTTCCAGAGTTTTCACAGCTGCACCAGCACGGCAGTAAACTACCAAACCAAACACACAAACACAAACGAACAACTTTGAATGTTCGCTGCACCATAGACATTTCAACTTTATAATAGATTACAGGAAGATGCTCATGAAACAAATACAACATTTGTTTCAGTACATGTCTTTAAATGATAGACTCATAAGTATGTAAACAGCTATATAATAAAAAGTTCCCAAACGCTGCCTGTAAGAAATCAGGCAAATTTTACCATAAGCAAAAAACCATCCCAAGCTTTCCAGAGTTTTCACAGCTGCACCAGCACGGCAGTAAACTACCAAACCAAACACACAAACACAAACGAACAACTTTGAATGTTCGCTGCACCATAGACAAAAAAAAAAAAAAGAGAGAGGGAGAGAAAGGGAAAGTATATGGAATCACACAGTCAATATAATTTAAGGGGAAATATATCATAATAGGCTTTGTGGTGCTCAATGTTGAAAAGCAGCTCTGCCATTGGCCTGGTTCTGCGGACGCCCCAGACTTTCACAAATGGGAACTCGGCCTGGAGCCTCACTCGGGGTGCCACCCTTCACCACGCGCTGCAAATAAGTGGCCTTCGGGGTGGCCCCGACAGGAGGACGGCATTTTCGTTGATGTAGATGGAGCACAACTTCTTCAGCAAACTCAGCAAGAATTGTTAAGGGGCAAAAAGGAACTCTGAATTTTAAAAGAATAGAAAAATGAAAACACAAAATCCTACCAAGTAAAAGCCCTGCGCCAGCGACTAGAATCCACACACCGCAGCCCGTCTAAGACCCTGCAGAAAACAGCCCTCGCTTGCTTATCAGAGGTGCACGTCAAATGCAATAGCTTACCAATATCTTCTTGGGAGGAAGCCAAAAAGAAACAGGAAAGCCCACATTAAGAAAAGTTTCTCTTTCCTAAACATGTTTTCCTGAAGCTGAACTTGAGGGGAGCGGGGTCTGTGAGCACACACTTCAGTCTTCCTCGTCGTTTTCGTACTCCTCGTCCTCGTCGTCATCCTCCCCGACGTAGGACACGGGAGTCTCCACCCTGGACCCGCTGTACTGAGACCCGCTGGAGCTTGTGGCCAGCATCCCATCCGCACCGTTGGTCAAGTCACTGCAAGGACAGGAAATGACACAAGGGCATCAGTGACCCATATGTGTCGCCTGTGCCAAGGACAGGCATGCATCTCAGAGAGGTTTGGGTAGTTTCAGTTATACTAACAAAAGCAGAGAGTTTCACACATCCACAACACCGAGTCCCCACACTGTTACTAGTTCCACCCCTTTCATACCCTCTCCCACCCAACTTTGTCCTCTTTAATATAACCAAGAAGACGAGGGGAAATTGGCAAGGCCACGATACTGCATCTCTTCCCCCGCCCCGCCCCCCCCCATTTATCATTACATCAGAAACAGAGTCCCAAAGCTATAAACTGAAAGCCATTAGATCCTCTTTCCAGTCCTTTTACTTATGAACTCCTTAATCTCCAGGGAGGCAGAAAACAATTAGGAAAAAGAGGCCCCAAGGATGGCATGGGACCCTCCAAAGCAAGGCTCCCTGGACAGCAGCGTGGGGCAGTGTGCCCACTATGTGTTGTGTACCTGTGATGGCAAGTGTGTGCATGTATATGCATGTATGTGTGCATGCATGTGTAAATCACAACCTTAGGCCCCAACCTCAGCTCCTCTGGTGTCTACAGAGAGCCCAGGAAGCTGAGCTATGACAGGGGCGTCTCATGCAGACGCTCTCTCTGAAACCTACGCTTCCAGAAAGGTTCCAAGGACCCCCAGCTTTCTACAGTTTTATAAAATGGCATTTGCTGAAAGTCAGTGGAGCTGGCCCTGGGCAGGGACCAAGGACCCAAAAGGGTAGGGGGAGCAGTTGGGCTGCACAGCCTTCCACATGGTCCTTGAGGGGAGGGGCAGGGTGTGTGTGGGGGGTGGGGAGGGAGGGTCTGCATTATGCTCCTGGGAGCCTCAACCAGGAACATGTGAAAATCTGGTGTCACAACTAAGGGGTGCAGGTATTGGCATCTGAAGCCAAAGGTGCTACCAGACAGTCCCCAAGACACAGAGTGCGCCCACAAAGAGTTGTCTGGCCCAAAATGTCAATAGTGCCACAAACGGCCTAAAACAGTAAGAGGCTGTAAGAGCTGGGATCCTGGTGAACGACTCCTGGGTTCAGTCACCACCCAGCATCCCAGCACAAAGCAAGTCAGACACCAAGGGTTAGTTACCATCCTGGGGCACAAACAGGTAATGGTCACACCAGCCACGCAGAGGAGGGACAAATGCACAAATACACCATGAATTGTGACATACTCCGGTTTTGGTCAAAAGACATTTCAAGCCTGGCTGGCATGGCTTAGTGGTTGAGCATCGAGCTATGAACCAGGTCACAGTTTGAATCCCAATGCCTGGGTTGGGAATGCCTGGGTTGCAGGCTTGATCCCCAGTGTGGGGTGTGCAGCAGGCAGCCAATCAATGATTCTCTCTCATCACTGATGTTTCTTCTCTCTCTCCCTCTTCCTTCCTCTCTGAAATCAATAAAAATACTTTTTAAAGAAAATAGCTCTACTTCTTTTTAAAAAAAAGTCATTTCAATTTTGTAGTATTTGAGTTGAGCAGCAAGAAAAGGATTCCAAGAAACATCAAGTACTGAAGGGAGGCCAATCTAGAATTTAAAATCTGATCCAGATCATGCAAATCCTAGCCTCCAAGGATGCTTCCTGTAACTAACTACAAGTTGCCCCAGAAGTGGCACAGAAAACCTGATTGAAGATACCAGAGCATAAAGACTCCATCAAAAAATTATTAGACTTAATAAATGAATTCGACAATGTTGCAGGATACAAAAGTAACGCCAAGAAATCTATGGCATTTTACACACCAATAATGAATTTACAGAAAGAGAGACTAAAAAAGCAATCCCACTTACCATCGCACCAAAAAAATTAAGATACCTAGGAATAAACTTGACTGAGGAGGTAAAAGACCTATACGCAAAAACTACAGTATACTGAAAAAAGAGATAGAGGAAGACATAAATAGATGGAAGAACATACCGTGTTCATGGTTTGGTAGAATCAACATCATCAAAATGTCCGTATTACCCAAAGCAATCTATAGATTCAATGCAATCCCCATTAAAATACCAATGGCATATTTCACAGATCTAGAACGAACGTTCCAAAAATACATCTGGAA